GGACTATATCATGACTGCCACAGTCACAAAAATAATGTCATCATATAGGAATTGAAAATCTTAGCTACAATAAGCTTCTTAATATTCAATCCTTCATGGGTTACTTGTGTCAAAACTTATTTAGAGGGGAAAAAAAAAAAAGCATTAAAATTTGTCCAAGATCTATTTTCATGAGAGCTTGGCCTTGGGTGTTCAGCATAACTGCTGCCATGTAAGCTAAAGAACTATCTACCATCATCAGCAGAAGTCATTGAAAACCAGGAACAGATCACCAGCCTGAATTGAGCAGTCTGCCCCAGTACAGCTCCCCTAATTCTCACAGTACCAGCGAGAATTTGTGCTGCAGGTATTCCTAGAAAATGGATCAGAAAACAGGACTCTCAAACCCTACAGGTAAACACATAAGTGAAGTCAAAAGTCAGAGTTCAGTTAGTGCTTCATTTGACTCCCCAAAGAGTGCATCATCTAGATAAGAACAGTCTGACCCTGTGCCATCCTACTGCCTGCTTCAAGGGATCAAAGTACAGCTTTTTTCGGTCCAGCAGCATATTGACAATAACACAGCTCAAGTGTCACTGAGGACTGTAAGCAAAGTGGAAGAAGGAATTTTTTACTTTTAATTTTGTTAGATTTTATCCAGCATTTGCAGAAAAGCAATTTTAGTGGGATAATGGAAAAAATATTCTCCAAGGTAATTACTTCTCAATAGAAAACTCTCTGGAAAGAGACACCTGCTTCTCAAAAGCCCAGATATATCCTGTGTAAAAAAGAAAAAAAGCTATACAACAGAACATACAGCCCCATCACAACTCCATAACAGATGATGTAAGTCGTTGACAAATGAAGTGATACACATGCACATATATGTATCTCCAATACAAATACGAAATCCATCAATGAGTACCACAGCTAGAAAGAAAAAATTAAATACCTTCTGAATAACTTTTTCAATTAAAGAGTTACCTCAGAGAGCCCAATTAGTTAGCTTAACAATAACCAAGCTTGTGGAAAAAGCACACATACACATCTGTGACAAAGTTTTATTTTCCCCTATCATCTTCCCTTTGGCTGCCAAACGCACAGCTGACTTAAAGCATAAATCCATTAGCATTTGAAGGAGAAAAGCAAGGTAAATGTTGTCAATGAAATCACACAAGCAAGAAAGAAATACAAAACCTCATTTACCTGGCTGTATCACCTCCAACTTTTACCATAAACCACAACTTTTGTACCTTTACAACATAGCAGTTGTAATATAAGTCTTCATAGCTTAATCCTATGAAGAAGTTGCTTAATTTTTTCACCCGCTGTCATATTCTAGGAAATCTCTTCTTAGACTTGAGACCAATTTTTCTTTAACCCCAGCTTTTTCACCCAAGGAACACTCAAATATGCTTTGCGGTCCTCATCACACACTAGCAACAGTTTGGTCAAGATACATTTCCTTCAGCAGATAGGCCTTTAACTGTCAGAGACATAAAATTGCACATTATCTCCAGTGGATGTAAAAAAAGCCAGCCTCATCTGCAGTTACATATACAAAAACATTAAGCCAGCAATACTTCTGCTTTTACTTTTATATCAAAACAGTACTGTACATACAAGTTACTGTGTTTGGAAAGAAGCACACCAGACAAAGTGATTTTGGGAAATAAAATCCTTTGCTGACACCAAGTAAATACTTTCTTAAAATAATTCATAGCTAGTCTGAATCTGTGATTTTCTGTTTTTTATATTAATTAAGAATTGACTAAAGCAAGAGAACCTGTTAATTACTGTGCCTGTACTAAATACAAGCAATGCAGACAATGTTTTCAGACAATGATCTATAATTGCAGGTATTGTAAAAACTTTGCAGACTGCCGAAGCTCAACTAATTAAGACTCAGTGTTTCTCCACCCTAGGCTGGGTTTTACCAGTTACAGATGGGGTAACAAACGAACCTCTTTTTTTTTTTTTTTTTTTATTTTTTTTTTTTTTACAGTTATATTAGCACAGTGAAAGAGGAAGAAAAAAGTTTAACTAAGGATAATTTCTACTTGAGCTGAATTGCTAGTCAGTAAAGTCTGGCAAATTTTTTTATCATCTAAGAACAAGTTTGAAAAAATAAATAAAACACACTAGATGCTGTTGTGAAATAAAAGCATCCTGAGAATTTAAGATCATTATAGGTAGAATTCCAACAACAACAAAAAAAAATTTGCAGAGACAAGAAATTTCCCTTCATAAGTCATAGGAGCCAAGTCTATAGCTGTCTTAAAAAAAAAAAAAACCACAAACCTCTCTCTAGCTCTCCTGTTTTCCAGAACATATTATTTTATCTAAGCAAAGTTTATATATGTTTTAAGCCATTCCTACTTGGAAAAAAGGGAATTTTAAAGTAATCTTCTATTTACTCAAAGAGTATCACAAATGCACACAAATTTACAGCATCTAAACCAGTGTCCAATTAAATTTAAAAGTCCTGTAAACCTCTTTATTCAATAACTCAAGGTCATAACAATGGTACTATTTGTACCACCCTACATTTCACTTAAGAGTCCACATTTAGAAAAGCCCATTCATATTATCTGCAATTTTGCAGAAAAGCAGTGTCTCATATGAAGCTGCTATTTTACGTAGTTAGTCTCTTACATACACATTTGGGGACTTTTGGGTTGGTTGAAGGAAAACACGGCCCTTAGTCATATGCTAATTTTCCAACAAAGTTACAGCAAGGAGCTTCAGCTAAAAATAGAATATGTATTTGTGCATTCTTGGTGCCCTGCCAAACTTCAGGAGGGCTTTAGTTTCTAAATAGAATAACCATCAGTGGATAGAAATGTACTTTTTTTGTAGCCTGCATAGTTAGAAGATAACTTTGAGATGCATTTTAAATAGATAACTTCAAAGCATGCAAGATTACACAACATGGCTCAAAGAAAAATGCCAATACATTTATTTCATATTTATCCTTAAGTATATCTATATTCAAGATAATAAAATGTTTTTTCCACATACTGCTTTGCCAACATTTTGTCTCTTCATACCAAGAGATCAATTTTTAGCTTGATTATTCATAGATATGCCTGCAATCACAAAATCGGGTCTCTCACCATACAAAAGAATTCAATACAACCTTGCATGAGTGAAGTTGTCAGGAATATACATGGCTAAATTCCACCAGTACCCTTTCATAGCAAATACCCTTCCGCCTGGCCATTTTAAAGTATAACCAAGATAGAATCTGTTTGAAGATTCCAGATATAAGAAAGAAAATGTTATTGCCAGCAAAGACTACTTAAGAGAGGGATTCATATGCTGTGTGCACATGTACATACAAATTGACAGATGAAGCTACTGCCATGAGAGCTATTCTCTCTCTCTTCATGTGCTCCTATTATCCATCACTGCCTATTACGTGTATCGCATCTGACAGGCCACAGCGATAGGTGTCTCACTAAAATGTGAGATGAGCAACACAGTGGGAAGAAAACCTGGAAGGTTATCATATACAGAACAAAATGCAACCCAACAGTATCAGATTTACACAGGGTGGAGGAGGTGTGTGTGTGTAAAGAGCATGAATGAGGAAAGACAAGAATTTTACATAAAGCATAGGTCAGGAGTTGCAAAAAGATTGATAACCTTCTGGAGGTGGGCTTATCTTAGACTCCAGTTTGCCCTAAAAAAGGTGGACATGAGCTGCTCCCTATTTCCATAAGTACACATGCCCTCTTCCCCCCCCCCCCAAATTACCACTGGCGAGAAGCAACACGGGGTGTCTGTGTGTCACATGACGTTAATCCTTTATGCTTTGTCTATTATGTAAGACAATACCATGTTCACATGAAGTACAAAAAGCTACTAGGTACTGCATTTTGAGACTGTAAAAGCATGAGCAGAGAAACCTTATGTCTGTGCAGGTCTTTATCAAACAAAATGCAGAGAAGCTGTATCATACCTCCCTTCCAATGGACTGTCATGAAAGGAAATGCTTAATATGCTAAAGATGTCCGAAAAGTCAGACCAAACCCATGAGCTAGAGAAACAGATGAAGCATACGTTCCAAAATTCAAAAAAAGCATATTATACAAGATGAGCTAAGTGCCAAAGCTGTATATGTAGATCTAAATCAGTAAAAATGGTATTAAAACTGTAGACACTTGGACTCAAAGATGACCTAACTACTGGGTTATCCCAAGACAACCAAACAAACATTCAAGAAAAACATACCCAGATTTCTTCAAAAGAGCAGAGATTTTTGTTTTACTTCTGATCCAAATTCCCCCAAGTAATTAAGTTTGGGACACTGTATCCCCTAGGAATTTCCATTAAGTCCAAATGAAGATTCTACTTGAAAGTTTTCCTCAAAATGCTCTACACTCCTTAAAGATTATTATTCAACGCTAACTGATAAATGCCCCAGAAAAAAAATCTTCTGTTGCCATTTTCTTTACACATATATGTTAGAGTCTTTACCGTTACCCTACCAATGTGTATTCTCATTAGAAGAAGCCCAAGAAGCATATATATCAACCAAGCCTTCCCTTTGAAGGAAGAAAATCAACTTTACAATCACCAAGGGATATGCACTGTAAGAATACCGAAGCTTTTATGAAAATAAAATTAAGTCTGAAGGGAAATCAATACTGTGATTTTAAATTTACCAAGTAACAGCTTGAGAAAGCCTTGGACATTTTTTGCCATTATCTTTTACCAATGTTGAAATAATCATTCACAGAATATGAGTACCTAGATCTCTATTGCTTTCTAAATTAGTAGTAACTTGATTATTCAACACAAACCATGAGCTACTATAAAACTTTCGTGAAATTACAAGCTGATATTCAGGTAGTTATAGCATACAACAGAGCATATAACCTGCTTTTCTTTCACCATAGCAGTTTTATTATTCATATTCTAGTAAAAGGTTTTACACCTAACTGAGCACACAAGGCTCTGCTACCCAACACTGAGAATTTCATGAAAAGACCACCAGACTGACACAACGTTCTTACTTTTAGCAGTTCAAAATAATGAAGACAGTGGTAAACAGGGGCAAGGAGCAGCCGGGGTAGAACATACTGAACAGCTTCTTTAAAGCCTTCACCTATTGACTAGAAACAAAATAAGTTTCAGTCTTAAAACAATAAATGTATTGAAGCAACAATATAATGTAATTAAAATAGTAATACCAATAAAATGGCTTACTTAAAAGAAAATTACCTGTAAATAAAATGCTGCTCCTGGCTTTGATAATTGACTTAGAAAATGATCATGAAAACCAGGTCGCAGAATATCTTGTGCATATGATTCATATGGATCAAATGCTAGTTCCTAAGAAGAAATACAGAATAATTTTACAAAACTGATTTAATATCTGATCTTCATATTTCTTAAAGAAAATACATACAGTACGTAGGAGAGACTTTTCTGCATACTGTTCCCAAAACACTTAAAGAGAAGAAGCAGTACTTTTACATGCACAGACTCATGCAGGAATTCAGTCTGGAAGAGATCTTTGGAGGTCAACCGATCCAATTCCCTGTTCAAAGCAGGGACCACCCCAGGGTCAAAGCTAGCTGAGGTTGCTCAGGGTCTCATCCAGTTGAGTTCTAAGTACCTCCAAGAATGGAGGCACCAAAACCTCTCTGGTTAGCCTATTCTAAAGTTCAGTTGTTCTTGTTGCAGATTTTTCCCCCCAGTATCTAATCAGAATTATCTTTTTACCACTTGCATGCTCTCTCTCATCTCACCTCACAGTTCTCTGCTGTGAACCCCCGATAACAGCCTGCCTCAGTCTTTTCTACACCTTCCCTTCAGGTAACTGAATGCAGCAATAAGATCTCCTTCCTCAGACCTCTCTTTTTAAGACGGAATAAACCCAGCACTCTTAACCCTCTATGTATATCATGGGCCTCAACTCCTTAATCATCATGGCAACCCTCATGTATAAGCATATCTTGTACTATGAAGACCGAAACCAGGCACAATATGCCAGATGGGGTCTCAAGTACTACACAGAAATGATCCCTCAACCTGTTGGCTATACTTTTCCTAATATAACCCAGTAAACAATTAGATTTTTCTGTGATTCCTGAGGATCTCCAAGCCTTGTTGAGCAGTACTACTCCTCAGCCAGGCAGCTGGACACATTGCATTGGGTTGTTTGGTCCCAGGTGCAGAACTTCATGTTTGCCTTTACTCAGCTCCATGAGGCTCCTGTAGGTCCATTTTTCCAGCTTGTCAGGTCCCTCAAGAAGTAGCCCTGTCCTCCTGCATGTGTGTCCCCACCCCAATTTGGCATCACCTAACTTGACAAGACAGGCCTTCTCCCACAATACTAATACAGACATTAAACAGTATCAGCCCCAGTATCCAAACCCTCAAGGAATGCCACTAACCATTGGCCATCAGATAGACTTTGTATTGCTGATGACAGTCCTTCAAGCCTGCCAGTCCTGCCATTTCCCACCCACTCTATAATTCAACTAGCTAGTCTACATCTCACCAAGCTGACTATAACAATACTATGAGAGGCCTATGCTGAAGGCCTTGCTCAAGTTCAGATAAAGGATATTAACTGCTTTTCCCTTTGTCCATGGAGCCAGCCATCTCCTCTTAGGAAGCAGTCAAGCTAGTCAGGTACAATTTGTCCTTCAGAAATCTGTGCTGGCTGTTGCCAGTTACCTTCTAGTCCTTCATGTGGCTGGATGTGAATTCCAGAAAGATTTGCTAATCTTCCCAGGGACTGAGGAGAGGCTGACCAGCTTCTGGTTTCCAGGATCCTCCTCATCATTCTTTTTGAGATTGGACGTAACACTTATCTCCAAACACTGAAGACCTCCACAACTCACCACTAAATTTCAAGAATTCTAGACAGTGGCCTTGCAATGACATTAGCCAGCTGCCTCAGCATCTTGTCCTGCCTCATAGACTTGCATATATCCACCTTTGATCAATAGTCCCTAACGTGATCTTCGACTTTCACCTCTCCCTCAATCTTTGGTAGCAGGCCTAACTGGGAAACCTAGAAGCACATTTTGCCATTAAAGACCAAGAAAAGGAGACTTGAGTACCTCAGTCCATTCCATGTCCTCCAGCACAGGGTCTCTCACCCCATGAGCAAGACACCCGTGTTTTCTATGATCTTCTTTTTCATGCTATTTTACCTATACAAGCCTTTCTTACTTTGTTTCACATTCCTCACCAAGTTTAACTCTAGCTGAGCTGCAGTCCTCTTAATACCATTTCCACCTGCTTAGACAATGCTTCTATATTCTTCCTGGGAAGCCTGCTTCTTTCTGAATCATAGAATTACTTAGGTTGGAAAAGACCCTTAAGATCATCGAGACCCATCATAAACCTAACACTATCAAGTCCACCACTAAACCATGTCCCTAAGCACCACATCTACATGTCTTTGAAATACCTCCAGGGACAGAGACTCCACCACTTCTCTGGGCAGCTTGTTCCAGTGCTTGACAACCCTTTTGGTGAAGAAACGTTTTCTAATATACCCAATCCAATCCATCCAACCTGATCTTATCCATCCCATCTAATCTTCTCTTATCCATCCAATCTAACCCATCTAATCTTCCCTGGCACAACTTGAGGCTGTTTCCTCTTGTCCTATCGCTTGTTACTTGAGAGAAGAGACAGACACCCACCTGGCTACAACCTCCTTTCAGGTAGTTGTAGAGAGCTGCAAGGTCTCCCCTCAGCCTCCTTTTCTCCACACTAAACAACCTCAGTTCTCTCAGCTGCTCCTCACAGGACTTTTTCTCCAGACCCTTCACCAGCTTCATTGCTGCTCTTTGGACATGCTCCAGCACCTCAATATCCTTCTTGTAGTGAGGGGCCTGAGTTTGGTTAAACAGGAAACTCTAAACTGTGTTTGCCCTTGCCTCCTACTACACCTACCCTTTTTCTTAAGGACTGGGAATGCATATTCCTTGTACTTTGAATGCACCACCTTTGGAAATAAACCAGGTTTTGAGCCCTTTCTACCCATGTGATCTTGCCTCACAGTTCCCCAAACAAGCCAAGTCTACACTCTCAAAGCCCAGGGTCTTCAGTCTGCTCATCTCCTCCACTTTTCTCAAGACCTTAAACTGTACCGTCTCTACCACCTGCAGCCAAGCCTACCGTTAGCTATGATGTTCCTGCCAGTTCTTCCTTCTTCATGAGAAAGATGTCAAGTGCAGCACCTTTCTTAGCTGGCCCATCAGCATGTGCCACAAAAAGAACCTTTCCCCAGTACCCTTCAGAAATCTTCCGGATTACCTGAACCACAGTAAGTTGTCCACCCAGCAATTATCAGGTAGGTTATTCTCCCAAAAGAACTAGGGCCTGTGATAAGGAAATTACTCCTACTTGTTTAGAGAAGGTTTTGGCCACTTGTCTACTGGGCAGTCTTTGCAGGAGAAGCTTGACCACAACATGCCCTTTGGTGGCCTCCTCCTCCTCCTCTCATTCTGATCCTTAAGCATTCAACCAGCTCATCGCTCACTCTGTATCTGAGCTGATATTTTGTTAAGCCTCCTGGCCTCATCTTCTCCATCTGTCCTTCTTGAGTTCCTGTATTCTTTCATACAGCCCTCCATCATGCACCCCTTCCTGACATGTCACTAATTCCAGTCACATGACAGCACTGCAACTGTGCACAGAGTCCCAGATCCTCCTATCTGTACATGAGCACATGCACCCTGGGGACACAAGACACTTCAGATGAGCTTTTGGTCATCCCACCTTCTCAGGAGGAAGGTGCAAGAGCCTTTGTTGTCATACTTTCTGTCATGCACATCCCCTTCTCCTCTCAATTATTCTATCTGCAAGCTTTGGTCTCCATCCACTAACAAGCCTAGTTCAAAAGCCTTCCTCACCAGGTTAGCAAGCCTGTTGGCAAAGAAGCCCTTGTTCCACTTTGTCTTTCCACAGCAATCCTGATCTACAGCTGATTTACAGACTACTTCAATTTCTGTCCAAGTCTAGTCACAGGTGGTTGTTTTAACCCCCCTGTGCTCTCTAAAGTTTAAACAGCACCATAAAAACTGAGGTTTAGAGACTAAAAAGGTAAAAACACTCTCAAAAACGGGCAGCCTATTCATCATGGCTGGAAAAAGAGATCTCACCCTAAACAAAGGCAGCTAGAACAGAGATGCACTTAGCATCTAAGTGCAAGTCATTAAAATACATGTTAATAGCAAAATACTTGTTAATAGCAAAAAACCCCCCCAAGTTCATTCTTACCTCTGCCATGTCTTCAAAACAGCTGCCTACTAGCGGATGAGGACTACCTTCATCTGTCATTTCAACAGTATCTTCTATATGACCCAATAACTTCACACTAAGTTCATGAATGTCTGATATACGACTAAATATATTTTCCACATCCTGCAAAAAGCAACAGAACCAGACAAAAATCAACAGGGAATTGGACACAATTTCTCAAAGGAAGAATGTTATATGCAAAGCTACTCTTTTATGATATGGAAGTCAAGCACTTCCTTAAATAGAACAAGATTTTTATAATACATTATATACTTTCTGTATAATTTATATAAGATCATAGAATTAATTTTTAAAATAATTACTATATGTATAAATATATAAAAATTTACAGTGATTTAAACATGGCAAAGAACAACAGTGACAAATCTGAAATTACAGGCCTGCAAGTGAATATAGCAAATAAGGTGGTTTCTTCCACAGTTCTAAAAAACCAGTGCTTCCCCACAAGTGCTCCTTGCTCCCTTACTGTTTCCATTTCAGAACTTGAGACAAGTGCTTCCTCTACTATTGATAGGTTAAACAGGACAAGTTAAGTTCTACAGGCATTCATCTAGATTTATAGGTATTATAGTAGGGTTTTTTTGTTTGTGATTTGTACAATACTTACATGAGATGAAAATAGTTTGGAGTTGGAGGCATATGGCTCTCTAAAAACTCTGATAATGAGATTTAGTTCCCTTATATATTGTCGAATCTCTGCCATAAATGACTTCACTAGGTCATAATAGGTTTGCTCCCCTGAGGTGGAGGGTTCCTCATCAGATAAGGTTAGTGCACTTAAATCTTCTACATCTTGATGGAACATATCCATTAATACCTAGGTAGCAAAGAGGGGGAAATCCACAAAGTGAGAACAACTTCTTTTCAAGATCTAACTGTAGGTTACCAATAAAGGAAATCTATTATTCCCATGAAATCAGACTGATCAGCAGTAAGATTTATGTATTATCATTCTGCAATTGGTTGAGCATTACAAAAGCAATATTCATTGCTACGAATTTGCAAGTCATTCTTGGCAGCGGCAATTTCTGAAGAATTCCCAGTTATTTAGACCAATCCAGGCATCTCTCCAAGACTGCGGTCCTAAAATCAATTACAATTTTAAGAGGTCTATGAAGTATACAGACACAGTTAGCATTTAGCTGGATTCTACTACTTTGAATTAGCTGTGCATAATCTGAATTTCTGAAGATACTATATTATCTGAAGTCAAAAAGTGTGTGCACTGCATTTTGCAGTCACATTGCAGAAGTACACAGACATAAGGACCTCTAAAAACTTTTGACTGCCAGAGGTCCCAATTCATACCCAAGCAAGGCTTAACAAACACAAGCAATTAGTAATTTGAACTTCTCAAGAAAAGTGGATCACTGAACATCGTATCTGAGCTAGGAGCCATTACAATGACTTAGCAAGTGGCAAACAGAAATCACACTTTGAGTTGTTTCCATGATACTCGAAGAACATCTTGAAAGCAAACTAAGTAAGTTGACGGCAAATTAGTAAAAAGCATCCTAATTTGAAGTATTTTTAGCAGAAAGAAAACCTAAAGAGGGTCCACAAACAATCTACAATGATGTAGCAAATCTTTACAACACGCCAGCATAAGATGCAGTTCAACATACAAGATGACTTTGTCCTGGGACAGTATTTATAAAGAAATCTGCTGCCCAGAGCTACACCCCTTCCAGGAAGTCATGAAGTGTATCAAACAGTGCATGTGAACTTCAGAATAAATGAGAACTTAAGTGCTGCTCGACAGCCTCCCTTCTGAACAGATGGAGGTGAAGCCATGGCAACCCAAGCCTGTTACTGCAGAGACTGACATGACTGCTGTCAATCACTGAAAAGACTAAGGAAAAGACTGCAGGATCAAAGCTGTAAACACTCTAAGAACCACAGGAGGGAAGGCTAACATATTAAACATGAATTAGAGTTTTTAAAAACAGCAGAAAACAGAATGAAGAAGTGTTTTTCAAAAGAACTATAAAACTGGAGATCTAGAACTAAACCTCTGAACAAGCCACAATAAACATGACATTTACGCTGGTATTTGCAGTAAAAGTCTTCTTTCTTTACAGCATGTTACAGGTGCTTCTCCAGAAGACATGTCAGTTAACCAAGCTGTTGACTACTGGTATTAGACAAATGAACTTATAGATCCCGGAGTATTCTCTTGCAGAATAGTTGAAGAGATGGTCTGCCTAACACTCCTTAAACATATACAGGTCTAGTGAGAAGGGAAATGGGTTTCTTTCTCCTAGTGAATCACAAGGTCCCTGCTACACACCCTGGTCTTAAGCTTCTGAAAGCAGAACAACAGACATTTTGCATTAAGACTGGCTTCTTTTGAAGCACCAAGAACAGAAGGTGATTCATCTTTCAAAGCCAGTGAATGTACATGGAACTCAGGTTACACAGAGAATCCCAACTCATTCTGGCGAATGGGACATTATAGGGTCACTACTGTAGGAAATTACATGGAATAATGCAGATATTCAAGGAGGCCCCAACATTTTTAACTTTACTTCACGGATGCAGTTCTAGCACATATTTGACCTAGAAGATTCCAAGCTGTATTCACGAGGCGAGTATCTCGCTACTATGAAACCTGCAAATTAAAGTAACTATACTGCAAATATTGAATTTAGAACAATCAGAAGCATAAGCAGATAGTAGAAGAAAACCAGCTTGCATTTTAATGGAGTTTGTTGTTTTTTGTTTTTACAGACAAGGCAAAATTTTCTAGATGGGTGGATGGCACAAAAGCAAGTGTGAAAGTGTGTGAGGAAAAAAAATGGCACACAGGGCCAAGAAACTGTTCTGGTTGTTTTGTTATGTTATGAGTATGAAGACATGTTATGGATAAGAACATAACAGACTATAAAGTTTCTCGATGCAACTGTGCAGAAAACACCTTGGGAACACCTTTGAATGGCTTGTTCTGCTGAGGCAGTAAACTAACAGGCCTGCTTTAGAGCCTTTCGAAAGTTTCTTCTGCGTACGTATCGAAGAGTTCCTCCAAGGCAATGTAATGGAAGTTCCTAAACCAACTTCATCACAGCTCTTCTTCTTACCACCTTTCCTAGGATAGAAGGAAGCATGCAGCAACAGCACTTGTTCCTGTTATTATTCTGTGGCAAATATTCAAACATATAGCTTCAAACCCTGCCCTAATGCCCAAAAGTAAGAGTGACCAAGACTACTGTCCTGACTGAGAAGTACTTGACTCTTCAAGATCTCACAAGATATCTTACAAGATAATAAAGAAAGGTGAAGAAAGTAGGATGAAAAAAAACCAAGCAGGAATGAGACAAAG